ACTATAATTGGAGGTGATTGTTATCATATTATATAATACCATCAAATTTAAATTAGAGATTGGAACTGGTTAATATTTACTTAGGTTACCTGTATTAAATCAGGTTGACCCAGATCAATATTTGACAACCTGGATATTCATGTTAAATCACCCAAATTACCAAACTGGGTTAACAACCTGAATAGAATTGTATATCCCTAATTTGGATTGTTTTACAACAGATTTACTGAACTATATAAGATACAAAAAAAAAGAAATCTGCATTAAAAATATTAAAAAATGTAGTAAAAAAAATTAGTTTCGATTGAAAATGTATCTTTTTTAAATAAACGATAAATAAAAAATTGAAACTTTTGTTATATTAAGTTTTAATATTACCATTTTAATTTTACCATGTATTGAAAGTTTAAATTTTACAATTTCACACTATCTTTTATCTCACAAAAAAAGTTTATAATCCTGTTTGCCACAATAAAAAAAAAATTCCAATTTTTTTTTTTCGCTATATCTATCTTCCATTTGTCACAAAAAAATCGATTTTTTTTTTAACTATATTTACCTTCCATTTCCATTCACCACAAATAAAATTGATTTTTTTTTTCACTATAAAAAGAATTCTTTGATTTTTCCTTGCTATACTTACCTTCTACCTGCCACAAAAAAGAATTCTTTGATTTTTTTTTTGCTATATTTACCTTCTGTTCACTATAAAAAATTCTTTGGTTTTTTTTATGCTTATTTTTCATCTACTTTAATGGCTATAAGAATATTTAAAATAGATGATAAAGTTTAGGATAATATTTCTAATACAAATTTAGAAATAGTTAGTACTTTTAATAATATGTTCACTAGCTCTAATAGAACTCCTTCAACAGCTCCCTCAACAGTTCCATCAGCTTCAACAATTTCTCTTGATGAAGATCAATTATATGTAATAAAAAAATAAAATTATATAAACCAAATCGTAAATATAGTAAAACTAGTTGGGTGTGGCAATATATGATCCAAGAAAATGAGTATGATATTTGTTAAGTTTCGGTTATGAATATGCAAAATGAAGAAATATGTTGTGACTAGCAATTTTTACATGATAGATCTATAGGAAATATGGCAAACTATCTTTGTGAAAAGCATGACATTCATAAAAGAATGGATAAGGTAATAATATTATAATTTATTTTAATTGAAGATGATCGCTATATATTTATCATAAAATTTAAATAATTTTGTTTATTTAATTATATTATATATAGATGAAAGATAAATTTATTCAATTAACTATACCACAAATAATAGAAAAGGCAAAGGTTAAACCACATAAGGAATCACGAAATCAAGAAATTAGACAAGCTATTGCTGAATGAATAACTATTAACAATCTTCCAATTAATGTTATTCAAGGTAAAGGTTATAGAAAAATGATGATGACATTTGATCTTGCATTTCCAATTCCATCTAATAAAAGAATAAAGAAAGAAATTCATATTGAATATACTAATGCAATTGGAGAATTAAAAATATTACTTGAAAATACTTGTGAATCAGCTTCTTTGACAACTGATCTTTGGACGGCTAAGAGTAAATATAGGTATATTAGTGTAACTTTACATTAGATGTCAGAAGATTTTAAAGTATATGATTGTCTTCTTTATATAAAACGTATGCCATACTCACATACTGGAACAAATATTGTATCTTTTTTAAAAAAAAAGTGGTTGAATTTGGGTTGAAAGAAAAAATTACTTGTGTTATAACTGATAACAGAAGTAATATAGTTAATGTAATTAATCAATAGGATGATGTTGATCATTTACCTTGTGCTACCCATACTCTATAACTCTCAATTAATCATGCATTTCAAAAAACTAATGTTTATATTAAGCGGATTAAACGTTGTTACATTGAGTTTCGTAGCTTCAAATAAAATCTCAAAGGGTAAATAAAACTAAGACAATTACTTAAGGAATCACAGGTGAGGATTC